ATAAAAAGTTAAGTTTGAACATATGTATGTTTAAACAATATAAAGTAAATTTTTTTTTGGTCAAAAACCACTTTCTTTCAAATTTTTAAATTTTTTAGAATTGTAAATTTTTTTTAATTTTCCTAGTTAAACTGGAACATAAGTTATTAACAAATATGAATATCTTTGATTTTTTTGTTTCCGATAGATATTGCGACCTGTATACTGCCCGCCATCCCACAAATATACATGCGAGATATATATCTATAAACCCTAGAAATTTAGCTTTAATCAATTATTTCTCCCCTCCCAAAAAAAACCTCAAAAAATCGATTTTTTTTAAGCCTCTAAAGTATACTCCCCCCTTAAATATCCGCATCCAAAACTCAATTATTAAGACATTTCGTGATTTATTCTTATGTCATCTCCTAAAGAAATAATGATAAATCTGTATGCGACTATCTTCTTGCTTTGTCAGAAGCAAAACCGATAAAATTGGTTTCCTTGACACCCAAAACCGATACAAATTCTGTTTCGAATACCAAACCAATAATACTGAATTTATGACACCTACTGCTTTTTTTGATCCGTTTCAATTCTGATTCCGACAACTATCAGATTCTGCAACACTTCTGTATATTTTTGTGAAAGGATAACTCATCATCAACATCTCATGATATACTGACATCAAAAACATCATGGGATTGACCAGACAGGTAGAGATGGTAAGGTAAAAGTGCCCACACACGACACACAAGTGCGTATGGGCTTGTGCGCGTACCGATACATGTTGGCAAAAATGTTTGATTTTTTCGTTGTGCGCACATGTCCGCATAAAACCTCATTTCTCTCGTGTCGCCGAACAGTGAAGATAGCGGACGAAGTGCAAGTGTTAAGGGGGAAGCCTGCTTTAGAGGCTTCAAAAAATTGATTTTTATGGGGATTTTTTTGGGATTATTCCATACGACGTTTAGTCGCCAATTAAGACAAATAGTAAAAATGAGAAACGGAGAAATCGCGCGGCAAAGTTTTCGCTTTTAGCCCAAGCGCTCATATATCTGCTAGACGCTCGGTCACTATTTCCCTTCCAGCTTCGATAATATTTCGAATTCCCATCTATAACTTTGGTGACATATTCTTATATAATTTTTAACGAGATTTAAGCAAAAAAATTTTTTTTTTGTTTGAAACTTTTAAAGCATTCTAGCCCATTAATAAAGATTTCGTATCAGAATTTATTAATCTTATAAAAAATTAATTAGCAATTTTGCAAACGAAAAGTGATAAATATAAAAATAAAGTTGATAAAAATAATAAGTTATTAATGAAATACAAAGAAATAGATAAAAGTACGATTATTATACTTATATAGAAGCTGTTAAAAGGTAGAAGAGGAGATAGTAAAACATCACATATGCGAAAGGCTCTATACAAAAAAAGAATTGCAACTATCGGTACAGGGTTTTTCGAGACCGATAAAAAATATTCAGAGCACTTTCTGATGTTGAAGTAGAATTTAAGACATAACAGATGAAAGAGCAGAGTGCCTATAATAATATACTAAAGGGTCTACATTACATAACTCCTGTAGAAAATATCACTAACGCGCTAGGACATATTTTGACATTATTTAATGGTCTTGAGCCCAGCACAAACAACAAGAATACAGTTATAAGTTTCGAAATTCGAGGAAATTGAATGTCTTAGTCTTGTGTCAACAGCAGCAAAGAGTTCGGACACACGCAGAGATTCTGCAGCAAACCTTTTAATTATGTTAAGTGTGGTAAAACCCCCAAACATCCGGCTTATTGACCACCTGATCTCACGAAAATTCCAAATGTTCTTGATTTAGTTATTTCGAAAGGTTTTAACTCAAGACATATATGTATGTACTTCCACTTGATTGGAGCTCGAAATAATTACGCAACTTTTTGCCTCTCCCGGAGGAGAAATAACTTATCCCGAATCACCAGTTTAGCTTCAGAAATTTTTAACACTTTATAATTGATGAAATGAAAAATGGTAAATACTGTTTTGCAGCTTTCCTTGATGAAACATTTGACAAGGTCTGGCACCTAGACCTATTATTTAAAGAAAAAACTGCTTATATCTCACTGCCTTTCAAAGTATTAATTACATAATCGGACGTTCTACATCAAGTACCGTGTTGCAAAAAGCTATTGCAGAAAAATAGTGAATCGAGACAGCTCGTATATTAATTTACGTCTTAAAGCCTATGAGCAAAAAATAGAATTTGTTCATAATTTTCAAACTCCTTATTTATTCTTCAAAATTAAAGTCATCAGTCTTGGTCTTAATACACTTGTCTTAATGTTTTTCCAATCCTCGAAACAGTTGTTAAAGTCAATTTGCAGAATAGCCTTCAATGCGCGTAGCGATTCACGTTTAATGTCTTCAATTGACTCAAAACAGTTTCCTCGGAGCGGTTGTTTGGATTTGCTGAATAGCCAGAAATCACACAGAACTAAATCAGGCGAATTGCGCTACGACATTGATTGAATACTTGGCGAAAAATTTCGCGAAAACTCGAGTTGTCGGCCCATAATTCTGGCCTTTTTTTACGAATAGCTTCGCGCAAACGACATATAGTACTGAAAAGTATTCTTTGTTGACAGTTTGGACGGTCAGAAGGAATTCGAAGTGCACCACACCTCGATAATCGGAAAAACTATCAACAAATCCTTAATTTTTAATCTGGTTGTTTCGGCTTCAGCTTTGCCACGATATTCGGCAGATTGATCGTCTATTTCCGGGTCGTAAGACTCACCACCAGTAATAATACGTTTCGAGACATCCTAGTGGTCAGAGAGCATTGTTTCAGACTTTAACGCTGTTTTCGAAAAAAATGTAGTGATCTTGGAACAAAACGTGCTTCCACTTTTCTTATGCCCAAATTATCTATAAAAATGATTGTCGCTGATCCTTTCAATATTTCACCCATGCCAGTAAGATCTCTGCCTATTAATCGTCAATTCTCAAGCACCAACTCCTTTATTTTGTTGACGTGTTGACTATCAGTTGATGTTGATGGCCGTCCAAGACGTGTTTCGTCGTCAATGCATTTTCTACACTTTTTGAATAATTAATAACAATCAAAAACACTTGATACTACAAAAAATTATCACCGTAGGCTTTATCTAACATTCTGAACATTTCGGCACCAAAAATTTGATTCCGCGCACTTAATTTAATAGAACTTCTTTGTTGAATAATTTTACTTATCGTGAAAACCGACGAATGCACTTCATGAACTTCAGAAATACAAGCAAATACTAAACGTTAATGATTATTTAGATGTGACATTTACCACAGATGTTTTTGTCAATCAAAAATTCTCATCGCTTAATATTAATTAAAAGAAAACATAGGTATATAGTATTTTGTTATAAAAGCTGTCTTTCTTTAAATAAGTGACGTATTTTTTTTTATTTGGGGAGTCGATTTTCAGGTAAATTGAGATTCATGGCGTTTAATTCATTTGCTTGTTTACATTTTTTTTCTTTGTAGTGTCTAGATGAGCTGTGATAATCCAACGCTGATAAGATTAGATTCAAATCACCTCGGAGACGAGGCTAGGAACTGTCAATTTTTTATGGCGAAATCTTGTTAAATTTATAATATTAGTTATATAAACTACTCAACAGCCGAATCTTGTGATTAAGTGGCGGTGTGAACATGGATTAATACCAACCAAAAAAAAAAAGTTTTCGACGAATGTGTTTTCGCGTTAAATTTAAATTAAGAWRTCTTGCTATTTTTTGCCCACAGAAATTATAACTAATTTTGAAGGAGAGAGCCTGCTTTAGAGGCTTCAAACAATGTTTTTTTTTTTGGGAAGCATAGAAATAATTCATTAAAGCGAAATTTCTAAGGTTTATAGTTATATATTTTAACATCATCCGAAATATTTTTTGGGATACGAAATCTTGGGTATTCTACCTTTGGGAAGCAATAGCCCGATTCATCCCGCAAGTGGATTTATCGGACGGCGGGCAGGATGCAGATTTCTATCGGAGACAAAAAATTCAAGGAGACTCATTTATGTTAACAACTTATATTCTAGCTAAACTAAAAAAAATTCCAAAAGTATAAAATTCTACAATTTTTTAAAAATTGGGAAAAAGTGAAAACCAAGTCAAGTGAACCATAAAAAAGTAACTTTATTTTTTTTTTTAATATGTTCAAACTTGACTTTTTTTAGTTTTTAGTTTAAATAAAAGGTAATTCAACGCCAAAGATAAAAACTTTGCCCCAATTCCATACGACGTTTAGTTTTCTATCCTGCCTGCCAATTAAGAAAAATCGTAGAAATGAAAAACMGAGAAATCGCGCTTCAAAGTTTTCGCTTTCTGTCCAAGCGCTCGTACATATACATATCTGCTAGATGCTCAGTCACTATTTTTTTTCTAGCTTCGACAATATTTCGAATTTCCTTCTATAACTTTTGTTACAAAAAACATTTGTTTTTGTCAGCTTCTAAAGGAGACTCCTCCCTTAAACAAGGTATTTCTACAAAGCAATAATTCACTTCAAAATTTTCAAAATCACCATCGAAAGCATGCCTCGAAAGCTACCCTCGTATTTTCTAATAAATTTACTTAAATAAACTGATATTTTAAACTAATAAAGGTATTGGAATTAGTTAGGCAGGTATTTACAATATTTATTAAACAAATATGGAATGCGAAGAAATGGTGCTTATTTCAATTAAATTTTTTTGTCTGAGAATTTAATTTACTCAATAATATAAAATACTGAAAATTTTGAAGCACCAATATTGCAAATTATATTTACAGAACAACTATCTGAAATTCGCAAAGCCAGCATAGCCCGTTTACTGTGTGATAATGGAAATCAAATCGCATCAATGCAGCCACAAGCTTTCATACTTGTTTCTAAATCGTAAGCAATGAATAATTTTTATGTACATGCATTATTTCCATTCAACACATTTTTACTCTCACAACATATCACACTAACTATTCAGGTTTTGCTTTTTAAATTTCTTAAGATATATGTATATATAGTCTTGTATCTTTTTTCCAGAAACCCCATTGTGCCATGCGCAGATATTCCTCAAGTAGATTTGACAAAGTGGATTGATCAGAAACCATTTGTGCGCACAAGTGATACTTTAAACGCAATTCCATATAATTATGGTAAATGATGTATCAGGCCAAGTGTAAGCACTTACTTTGAAGAGTATTATTCAATATCAATATATAGTATAGAAAAATTTATCTACTTATTTTATATTATGAGCATTTTCAATAATTTTACTGTATTATGTGTATGTATGTTATACA